TGTATCCTGACCCACAGTACCTCAGTTTGGCCCTCTTCTGGTGCCATCTTGATTATAGAGGATGTATATTGTTCATTAACATAGAGAGCAACACCCCCGCCCTTTTTTCCCCACTCTATCCCGTCTGTACAACCTGGAGCCCTCAATGCCTACTGCCCAACCGTGAGTAGGGTCCCAACAGGTTTCAGTTAGTCCAAGCAGGTCAAAGTTGTTTCTTGCAAGCAGGAGTGCAAGTTCCTCCTGATGCTCCTGTGCAGGAGGGAAGAACCGTTTTGGCACCTCCCCTGGGTGACATGTCCTGGCCTAAGTTGTGCTGAAAGTCAGGCCAGATACATGTAATAGGCTTTTGTGGACCTGCAATCCAAGAGTGGGGACGTGCAGCATTATAATGGTGGAGTCCAGCACAGCATCCAGCCCCCAAGGACATGTCTCTCTTAGCCCAGCTGAGATGGCTTTCCTTCCTAACTTCACACTTGCATCAGCGGCAGGAGAGCATGGCGCGGCCTGCTGCCAGCTGCAGTGTGTGCTGCCAAGCGCTCGAAAAGCATGTGAACACGCCGAGATTTAAGAGAAAATCCAGCGAGCTTGTTCAAAGAGCAAGCAGCCAGTTGGGCAGATAATACTGCCTCCTTCATCCCTTCCCCCTGCACATGGCAAGGGGGGCTGCGTTAGAGTCACTCAGGCCAAAGAAATCAAAGGGAGCGAACTGGCTGTCAGTAATTAGAAATATCCTGCGCTGCAGAGATCTCTGTCTGTGGCTCAGGGTGACAGGCTGCGGCTACAGCCTGAAGCTGGCTCAGAGGCGGCAGGTCGATAACTGTCTCCCTGTTCCTTCCTGAGATGCTTGGTGGGACATAAAAGGTAATTTGTTATGACAAGAGTGTCAGGCTTTTCTCCCAAAGCTTGAGCCTCAGGGAAGGTAGGAACGCTGCCATAGGAAGAACAAAAGAGTTACTTTTCTTTTCTTTCAGCATTTCTCTTCCTTTCCAAGGACAAGAGAGGCAGAGAAGGCTGAGAAGGAAAGAGAGCAAGTCCTGACAGATGATTAGGAGACGATGGGCAAATACATAAATCTCACCTCTTTCAAAGTTAGCAAGGGGGGAAAAGGATGCGTTTCCAAAACAGAAACTTAGGGCTAACTGACCCCTGAGCAGGGGGGTGCACATCTGGTAGGCACTTCCTGAACTATGGATTGTGGTCAATGGCTATGGCAGCCCTTACTAGGGCAAAAATCCTAATTACCTCGGCAGAACCTCGTGCTTCAGGCCCATGTGAGGGGCAAAACAAAGGGACAGCATTCTCCTCCATGGGAGGAGCTGCAGCATCTTGTTTCTTTAGGGGGGTGTACTGCTGGTGAGAGATTTCAGATACCCAGGTCTCTGTTCAGCTGCAAAACCAGCTCTGCCTGGCATAGGCAGCAAGACGTCGGGCTTCCCTACGTGTCCCCTTATGTGCTGGCAGAGGTAGAAGCTCTGAATGCAGTTCCCGGTGCCCTTCAACCATTCACTCCAGCAAAGTCTGAGCTTCCTGCTGAAATGGCAGAATGGCCCAACCTTCCCACAAATAGGCAAACAGCCTCTTTGTGCATCTGTAGCAGCTCATCCTAGTGATCCCTCAGGACCAAAGGCTCAAGTGTCCTAGTTTCAGCAGGATGAGTACATCCAAGTTTGTCCCCTTGTAGATGAGGGAGCTGGCCTAGGCAACACATCCCTCCAAATGCCAAGCTGAGCCCATCCAAAATATTCAGGTGCTTGTCCAAAAAGTTCCATGGTAAGTTTGGAGTGCCCTGGTCATGCTGCAGCCCCAGGTTCTGGCTGGGACTTTGAATTAAAAGAGCAAATGATCCTCACAATTAAGCTGTTCCTTTGGCTTTCCTGCTTACCTAGAGAGTGAGTGTGTTGGAAGATGCTTGCTGCACACTGAGCCCACCCAGTGATTTCCCAGCCAGGCTGGTGCTGACCCATCACAGTTAAATGAACTCTGTTTCCTCACTTCAGTGTCTCCAGCCGCCGAACGGCTGCGCTACATCCTGGGCGAGGATGACGACCCACCAAACCCCACCCTGTTCACAGAGATGGACACATTGCAGCATGATGGGGAGGAGCTGGAGTGGAAAGAATCTGCCAGGTAAGCCGAGGACAGAAGACCGGTGGCATGAGGGATGCAGTAGGTCTGACTGGTCACATGTATCGTGAGAGAAAGCCAAGGACCCAGTCATGCACCAGTGACCTGTTGTGCTGCCCACGCAGAGCAGAAGGAGATCCCTGTCCAAAAAGAATGTGCTGTCCAGTGCTGCCCCAGTGACCTGTGCCTTGCACTAGGAGGCATGGTGCTGCTGGAGGTGGCACCAGCAATTCAGCAGGTGGCTATCTTCCACATGAGCTGGCCCTAAGGCAGTTCCCAGAGACAGGTGCTCTCTGGAGATCCACCTTTTCTGATGAGTGGTAAGGTAAAAACAAGCCCCAGGCTCCCTTCAGTCTGTATAAACCCCATGGCCCTTTGTGCACCAACCCTCATGACCCAGCTAAAATTCAGCCTAGGCTACTTCTCTCTGCCTCCCCAATCTTCCTTTTTGATGGGATCCTACAATGTCCTGCCGCTCATCACATGGGTCTGGGGTAGCGGCAGTAGCTGGTCTAGAGGACACGGCTGTAGGAAGTCTCTGTGGAAGGTGGAGATGACACAGTGGAAGGCTCTTGGAGACATGTCCCCAGTATGGTAGCAGTGATGGGCAAATGCAGGGGAAGAAATCAGTGTGAACAAAGCTATCCTGTAAAAACTATCATGGAGCTGTGATGTGCACTGCTGAATACCTGCCATGTTCCGCTGTGTTCTTGCGATGCATGAAGCCATCCTGAAAGCCATGTGTAGGTCTGTGAGATCCTGCATGATTAAAGCAGCTGGCAGACATGGGCAGTGAGTTGTTACAGTCCCAAGGTAGAAGCTACCAGAGAGAGAAGGGTCACAGATTCCTTGCAAGGTAGGGTATTAATACATAGAGCATTCACAGGACACTTTCCAGCTGCAATGCTGTGACCAAACACACTGACATAGGCTTTTTGGACCCTTTTCCCCCTTTTATGGACAATGGGATATTAATTGATCCTCAAATTGCAAGGGCTACTTGTTTGGCAGTGGATTAGGAAACAGCAAGCATGGCCGGTTAATTGCACGACTCTTAGACACAAGCCCTGAATGTGCCGGGGGGGCACTGTAAAAAGTGATGGCTAGAAACACAGCTGCTAGAAGCCTGCTCCAGCATTAAATCTGTGGTTGTGTCCTGGAGTGGCAAACCCGTGTGTCTGGAAGAGGCTGCCAGGTACATTCTGAGATGCATGGCGAAGTACATGTGCTGTTTGTATGAATATCGCTTGGGCTCAGGCTTGGATCAATGGTACCAACACGCTGCATAAAAAGAGCCCAGGCCTCTGATGTGCTCACGGTACAATAAGAAGAAACATGCAGATAAAAGTAAAGGCAGTGTGGAGACCCAAGAACCCAGCCTGGGAGAGGGCAAGGCAATGATGAGAGCATTACAATGTCAGGGATTCTTGCTGGATGTGGTAGGCTGGTTATATCTTCTGCTCTTGGAAACATGAGTCACAGCTTTTAATGTTCCAGGTTAGCTTCTCGCCTTTGGGGTGAGGAGGAAAAGCTTGAAAATGTGGCCCCATCTTGAGGCAAGATCAGAGAAGCCAGCTCAAGGTGGGCAGTACCATGATGACAAGCCACTGTCACAACTCATGCCTCACAGAGTCTCAGGGCCTGTCAGTTCCTCAGGCTTACATCTTGAATCCATCAGAAAACTAGAGCTGTTCCATTGCTGGAAACTTGGAGGCAAGGTTGTGCTAGAATAGAGTAGCAGGGACAGAGGGCAGCATATGTGGAAGCAGCATCGCCTAAATGCACCAGGCAGTGCATGGGTAACTTGTGGAACTCCTTGCTGCAGGAGGTGGTTGAGGCAGAGAGTACAGCCAGGTCCAAAAAGGGACTAGCCAAAACTATGGAGGATAGATCCATTAATAGCTAGTTAACAGAACAATCAGGGGTGCATATTCTCATGAGCCTCCAAACCAATTATGGTGGAAGCCAGGGAGAGTGATGAACAGCGGGTAGATTGCTCTAGATCAGGAGTGGGCAAAATACAGCCCGGGGGCCAAATGTGGCCTGCCAGGCCATTCTATCTGGCCTGTGGGCCCCTAAAAAATTTAGAAAATTAATATTAATCTGCCCTGGGCTGCCTGTCACGTGGCCCTCGATGGCTTGCCGAAACTCAGTAAGCGGCCCTCTGCCCCAAATAATTGCCCCCCCTTTCTAGAGGTACCCTGTCCTCATGCTCTTCCTATAAAGCATCCACTCCTGCCACTGTTAGAGGCTGGATACTGGATTAGACGGACCATCAGTCTGAGCTGTATAGCACTGCTTATGTTCTTCCAGTCTGTAGCAGAATTAGGGAGCGGGTCTTGCGTAAGCGTGGGATAGCAGACAAACAGACTAGCATCATTTGGAACTGGCATGGGTTGGAAAAGGGGTGTAAAATGCCTCCCCAGCATGTGAGTAGCACTTTACACCTTCTTAGCCCAGGGCTCAATGCATCCACAAGGCCTTAAGATAGGTGGGCATCCAAGCTAATCTATCTGTATTATCTCTGTCCTTGGACAACCAAAGAAGTAACCTGCTTCAATGAGGAGTCGCCCTGATACCAGGGAGTGAGGTATTTTCTCAGGATCAGCTGAGCCACCTCTGATAGACTGGTTGGGCTGAAGTCAGGCAGTTAATAAGATGCATTACGATTAGCTCTGTCTCTCCTGCCCATGTGCGCCCAGCACGCTCAACTTCTGCCATGTGACAGCTTTGTCACTCCCCATGCAAGCATCCTCCCTGCCCAAAACAGAGTTGCATGTACAGCTCTTGAAGCTGTGCTTTGGGTGTGCAGTGTCCTACTGTCCCCTGTGTTTCTGTCTCATCTTGTGCAATGCTTCTTCACCCCAGAGGCAGGTGGTCTGGCAGTTAAGGTGCACAGCCTCAGACCTGTGCTAATTCCACGCTCCAAAATGGCATCTTGTGTGAGCCTGGGCCAGCAACTCGGACTCTCCGGGCAGTAGGGAAAATAGCACTGCCCTAGCTCTCAGGTCATGGTGAGGGTAAGCGTGTTAGAACAGGAGACACCCAGTCCATATGGTAAGAGGGCTGCAGACAGCAAGCTGTCTACCTCTCCGACATCCTGTTGGACGACATTAAACTCTGCTTCATCTTGGACGGGTTCATCCTGCTGTGACCTCACACCCAAGAGCATTAGAAGTTTGGTCCTGATACTTTTGATTTCTGCATCACAGCGGGCATCCCTGACAAGTTCATGGTCTGTGTATTGGTCCAGCCTGGAAAAATTCATTTGAGTGAGGGAAACTGCAACTAACATTCAGGCTCCAAGCATTCAAACACATGAGAACCACAGGTTTAATGTTGCACTGGCAGCTTGGAGGACATATTACTGCATGTGAGATTGGAGAGTGGCATGACAGCTCTCACAATTGGAGCCTGGAAGCAAACAGGGTACTGGGGTGCTTGGCTTCAGATGGAGTTGGGGGCCAGGAGAGCCTTGCCAGACCTTGCCCTTGCCCCACTGCCTGGAATCCAAAGAACTGACATGCGTGTGATGCATTAGATGTTGCTGGAGCTGGATTTTGGGTGGCTGAGTGAGGCTGTGTTCCTCAGGTCGAGAAGCGTGCATCCCTGAGGGGGTTTGCAGAAGTGCATGAGCCCTGCCAAGCTGTGACAATATTGCATTTTTCTCTCTGTAGGCAAACAGAGCAGTCTCTGTGTGGCTATGTGATTTGCAGAGGCCTGATACACTCATCTGCAACCCTAGAGTTTCCAGGGTGAGCTTTTTAAAGAGAGGGTGTCATCGAGACGGTGCAGGAAACATGCAGTAGGCAAAGATTTTTGTGGACAAACTGCATGGTAGGCATAGACTGAGGCAAGCTTTGGAAGAGGAAGGCACTGCATTAGAAAGCTTGCCTCTTGTCTATCCCATCCCAGAAAAGTGCTATGAAGGCACCTAGGCCCTGAAAGGAGAGGTAGGTATGCACGTATCTCTAAGAACCTGACCTTCCGCGTCTGGCAGTGGCCTTTGGACCCACGATGGCTCTGGTGGCACCTCCTTGCCTGCCAGCCGGGGCAAACAGCATCCTCATGGTTAATGCTTGGTTTGGTTGTGTTGTTCTCATGGCCATTGCTAATGTGATCAACCCAGTCAAGTTTTTTTCTTTTATATCCCCAAAGAGTTTTATTCTTCCCTACAATCCATCATTGTTCAGCAGGGCAGCATGCGTGCCAGCCCGTAATGCTCTGAAAAGGGGCAGAGCATGGATGGGGCTTGGGGGCTCTCTCCTTCCTGACATGCATGTTTACACTGTGGAAAGTCACCCGAACGACTGACCCAAATCCGTCTGCCAAGGACCGATTGAGCCATGAAGGCTGAATTCTCTCCTTGCGCAGTCAAGGCAGATGGAGGCCCCTGAGGGGAGCAGCCCCAGGGGGATGGTACATTGTGAAGGCTGCTGACACTGTGCTTGCACTATCGACCAAGGGCATCAGTCTGCAGGAGCAGGCCAGGCCCTTGTGTCAGCACTTCTGTGGGCAGGTTGAACCGCTCCCGAGCTGCAGGCTCAGAGCAGGATTCAGCAGGGACGCACCCCCTTCACGGGGTGAGTGCTACCTGCAAAAAAAACCTTGGCAAGCCTAAACAGGAAACTTCCTTCTCGGTGCCAAGCAGCTGTCAAGAGGGTCGGCCTCAGCTTCTGAGCCGGAGAAGAAAGCTGACTGCACACAAAAGGCGAAGCGTGCTGGAAAGTCGCTGGCGCCACTTCCCAGGCAGGGGCAACGCATGCTGAGTCTTCCTCCCTCTGGGCCTCATGCAGGTCTGCCCAGATCGTAGGTCTAGATCTCAGTTGGCCTCTCAAGGTGGTGCTGTCTGACAGTCAGTGAAACCTAAGGGATGAGAGGTCCCAGGATCTTGTGCTCTGGGGTGTAAAGGAACCGGTGCCAAGCTCAGGAAGGAGTTTTTGTCTCCCCTCAAGGAGCGGTGCACAGGTTGCAGAGGGGCATCTTCTCCTTCCTGGGAGACGGGTTGATGGAAAGGACGTGTCATCTGCTCTAGAGCACAGATTTTAAGGCAACACAAGCTGTCCCCTCCCTGCTGTCTTCAGCATCACGGCTTACCACTACATCGGGGAGCACATCAAGGGCTTGGCGAACAACTGTTAACCAGGGCACCCTTGGGGAAAACCAGCAGTAATGGCCATAAACCCCTGGAAGACCATTTCAAGCTCAACATTAGGAAAAACTTCTTCACAGCTAGGGTGTCCAGACTGTGGACTAAGCTCCCTCCAGAGGTGGTGCAATCACCTACCCTGGAAATCTTCAAGAGGAGACTGGACGGGCACCTTGCTGGGATCACCTGATGCCAGCTGTCCTTCCTGCCTGGTGCAGGGGGCTGGATCCGATCGATGATCTTCCGGGGTCCCTTCCAGCCCCTCGCAATCTATGAATCTATGAATCACTGATGATGCAGGTCAGGAAAAATAAGCACTGGCGGTGGTCGGTGGGAGGGGCTGAGATGGTTCAGAACTGGGGAAAATAAGCTGGGAATGCACAGGACGCGTAATGTGGGCCAGGGCTGTCTTGCAGTGCCCAGGCAAAGCCCCGAGAGGTTCTCGGCGCTGGGTAAATGGGCGAGCGTTTCCCCTTTGGAAACCCACGTTAAAATCCTGCCTTAGGTCCCAAGCGAAAAATACATGTGGTCCTCTGAGGCAGTTGTGCTGTGGTCCATTGCCTTACACAGGTCCTGGTTCCCAGTGCCAGACCCATGTATAGGCTTGCCCAGTCCTGGGGGAGATTGAACAGTGTTTGCAAAACCACACACACAGAGGTTAAACTAACAAAGCCTAATCAGCTTTCCATGAGTGCAGACACAGCAGAGGAGGGTGATGATTCCTAAAGCCTGTGAAAGCAGCTGCCTCACAGCCTGGCACACCACGCACTGCTGGGGCTGGAGATGGAGGCAGTAGGAGAATGCAGGTCTTCATGTGGCCTCAGGCCTTGCTATCCTGGGCTCTCAGCCAGTCTCTTCAGTGGCCATAATTCTTTCTAGGCCAACACTGATGGAACGAGATGATGGATATGGACAGCAGTTGAGTACGTTTCTGTAATAAAGGGGCCGTTGGATGGTCTGGTAGTTAGAGCAGGTGACTGAAGGATGGCCCTTATCCCTGGTCCTGGATAACAAAAGGCAGAGGAAGTGGGAGTCAGGAGTCCTGGGTTCAGTTTCCAGCTCTTGGAGCGGTGTGCAGCTGATTTGGTGGGTAGAGCAGGGGGCTGGAGGTTAGACGCAATGCACCAAGCCACCCATCCTGGGGGAGGAGATGTGGAGAGGCTCCTTTTTGCTGGTTCGGTACCTCATCCAGGGGAGTGTGTCCCTCAAAGGAGCAACTCCCGAGAAAAGGGACTTTGAGACATTTCTTTGGAGCTGTAGTCAGTACAATCCAGAGCCTCTTTCCAATGTCCCCCAGCAGATTTAGCCTGGTGCGGCTTTATCTGATATCTTTTAAAAAGCCATTGTTATCCTCTGTTCTTTCCCTCCATCCCCACAGCAGCAGCAGGAGCCAAAACCCAAGTTGTACCAGTTCAAAGCTGCCAGGTTAAGCTCTAGACAGGCTAATCCGTGGATCGGGGAATCGGCAAACCTGCCTTAAAGGAACAGCAGCTTTATTTCCAAAATAAATACAGGCGTGTTGCTGAGAATTACTTGTGCTTAACTGGAGCATGAATCGTGCTCTCAAGGAACCTGCAGAAAATGGATGGTTGTTTTGCTCGCTTTTTTTCCCATCAGGGTTGGAAGGCAGAATGTGCCACACATCACTGTGTATTTCAGCAAAGGAGCTGTGTTTGCCATCCAAAGGAAGGATGTAGTCTGCTCCCAGATCTGGGAAGGGTCTAGGTAGTGGCTGTCCATCCTTTAGATCCCAGACCTTCTTTGGGAAGGGCCAGCTCTTTGCTTTTGCTCGATTGTTGACTGCAGAAGGAGGCTAGAGTCGTCACTCTGGTGCAAAGAAACAGGGCAGAGTGTTTTTAACGCTACAGCTCCCTCTGTCAAACATCTGGGTTGATCTGGTGAATCACCTTTGCACATCCAGAAGTGTGAACGTTGCATGGCACCCCACAGCACCCTTGAAAAGATCACAAGGCACCCCAGGGTGCCCCAGCACCCAAGTTGAGAAACCCTGGGCCGAAGCAGGTGGCTACAAGTCAGAACTTCCTGATTCTTTTCTGCCACCGACTTTCAAAGTGGGGTCAGGGTCTTTCTGTGCCACAGTTTATTCCCTGCCACACAGGCAAGCTAGAGCTCAACTTCAGCCATGGACACACATGTCCAAAGTGCTGTGATCACCATGGATGAGCTGGGAGGGTTGGGGTGTCAAATCAATGTTTTATCATTAGGAGATAAAACTTTGCTCAGTAAACACGCCCATCATCCAATTTGTCTCTCTCTCTCTCTCCTAACTCTGAAATCACTCGTGCAAGCAATGCAGCCAAAATCTAATTAGCAACTCCTACCTCTGAAATGAATAGCACAAGTCAAAGGTTTGGCAACTCACATCACAACTGAGACGAATAAAGGAATTTTCCAGTGTCCTGCCCATGCAAACGTATTATGTGTATACCCCGGCTCTTTGCGACTGTGTTGTTGGCATTCCACAGAGCATGGCACTGGGCAGAGGATTGTGGGTGCCTGGCCTGGGAGACTTTCTGGTCTCCTTTTCATCGTGTTATATGGGGTGGAAACTTGCTCACAGCCAAGGGTTTGAGTAGTCCCAGTCTCTTTCCAAGTCAGCCGTGTGCATCAAGGCAGAAGCCTGCTAGCCACGCTCTCGTACCCTGAGCCATTCCTGATGGCAGCAATTGTTGTTTCAGGTGGATAAAGTTTGAAGAAAAGGTAGAAGAAGGAGGGGAAAGATGGAGCAAACCTCATGTGTCAACGTTAACATTGCACAGCCTGTTTGAGCTGCGCACGTGTCTGCAGACTGGAACAGTGCTCCTGGATCTCGATGGCTACTCCTTGCCACAAATCATAGGTATGAGCCTTTTGGCACAAAGAACAATTGGCTTGTCCTTTTAATGGCCTCCCTAGAGATTTCTGTTCTCTGATGCCTCCCCTGGAGCAAGAGGAAGCATTGCTAACCTCAGAGTTTTTTTCATGGGGTAACTAATGATGCAGAGCCTAGTTCTGCACCTGAACAGCCACTGCGGCCTGCAAAGTGTGAATCAGACTGCAGATCCAGCCTGCTAGTGAGGCAGGATGGCCCAGCAGGTAGGAGGGTATCAGGGCCTTGGGCTTTATGGGTTCAGTTCTCTGTCGACCCTGAGATTCCAGTCCCCGGTGGCCAGGTTCTCAATGGTATTTGAGGCAGTGAAGGATGAATGGATAGTGCCAGGGAGAACACCATAGGACATAAACTGGAACACAACAAATTGCCTTGCCTAAGCTTTTTGATGATGTAGATAACAAATTACTCACACTCAGCAGATTTGCTCTGGTGGTAGCAGGAGAAAACACAGTTCATTAGAAACCCCACGGCTTGCTTTGGGCCATCGCTTTGTAGACTGCACTTTGAAAAACAGCTTGCTAGTTGGTCTTTCCAAGTGACAGCATCCCAGGTTTGTTAAAACAATATCTCAAATGACTGCATGGATAGAGTGGAGCTTGGCTTGTTGGTTTGTAATTTCACTGCTTCTTTGTTCTTCCATTGCACCATCCCTGGTGAGGCACGATCATTGGGTTTACCCATTGCTTATTCATTCATTAACCCTGCAGAACTATTTCAAATTGCAAGGCAGGAGTACATCTAAAGAAATCAATCTGATTTATGCTGGTGCAGTGGAGAGATAAGAGTAGAATTAAGCTGGAGTCTCTCAAGAGGTCGTGGTTGTTACAGGATGGACAAATTTGTTCATAGAATCACAGAATCAGAGAAAATGAGGTTGGAAGGGACCTCAGGGGGTCATCTAGTCCAACTTCCTGCTCAAACCAGGACCAGCCCCAACTAGATCATCCCAGCCAAGGCTTTGTTTAGCTGGATCTTAAAAACCTTCAAGGATGTAGACTCTGCAGTGTCTCAGGGTAGCCTGTTCCAAGGCTTTACGACCCTCTTAGTGAGAGAGTTTTTCCTAATATCTAAGCTAAATTTCCCTTGCTGCCACTTGAAACCACTGCTTCTTGTTCTGTCATCTGCCACCACTGAGAAGAGTCTCGCCCCATCCTCTTTTGAACCCACCTTCAGGTAGTTGAAGGCTGCTATTAAATCCCCCCTCAGTCCCTGCTGCCAGAATGACTGGGTGCTACCAGCGGCGACAGTTTTTTATTGTACAACGCCTTGTGCCATTTATGAACCACTGCAGATGTCACTTCTATCCAGATAGCGTGGAGCTGAGTCTCTATGTGCAGTGTACAAAGCAAAGGGAAAGCAGGCAGCACACCTGTAACACAAGGAGCGTAGGACCCCAGAACTGGAAGGGGCTTTTGGGAGCATTGAGTCCAGTCTCCTGTGGTCACAGGTAGTAATTAACTGAAGGGGTCCCTAAAATTGACAGCTCAGGTCTTCATCCACCAGATGTGAAGGACATTATTCAAAACAGCAAGGACATGCTCCATGCCATGCCAGGTAAAGGCAAGGGAAATGACAGCCCTGCCAGTGCCCTGCAAGGGCAAGCTGTGGTTCAGCACTCAGGGCCGCCCTTCACATTTCTCAGGGCTGTTTCGCCCTCTTATCATTCAATGCATAATTGAAAGCTTGGTGGGGGGCCAGTGTGACTCATGGGCCGCCTCTGGGTGGCAGATCGCCCACTGGGGATCCCTGCTGCAAGCCACAGAGATCCTAGCTCCCAAGGAGTTTGCAAGGAGGGAGTTACGCTCCACAGCCCAGGGAGCCCCAACACGTGTCTGCCTTTCAGATGATGTCATAGAAAAGCAGATAGAAGCTGGCCTGCTGAAGCCAGAGCTGAGGGAGAAAGTGACCTATGTCCTCCTGAGGAAGCACCGCCACCAGACCAAGAAACCCATCCACCGGTCCTTGGCAGACATCGGCAAATCCGTGTCATCCAGCACAAGTGAGTTCCTGAGATCCAGGCCACACGTAGCTCAATCCCAGTGTTTTTGTTTCATTTTTTTTTAATGGACTCCTTCCCCATGGCAAAAGGTCCTTGGTTGTCAGTGCGGGCAAGAGAGGAGTGGAGAAGAAATCCCCCTCCCCACAGAAGAGAAGCAAGGGACCCAGCTCCCTCAGTCTGCTGCATCTGCACCTCGACCAGTAGGCTTAGTGGGCAGTTCAGCAGTGCCGGGGGGCATGGGGGGGTTGGTCTTGATGCCAGGCTGTTTCACAGATCTTATATGCCACCTCGTAGTGGTAAGGACGTGGTCGGCGGCTCTGGTAGGCAGGGAGAGATGGATGGAGCCAATAACAGCCTGGTGGAAGGGTCAGGACCCAGGGGCTACCCCAGCAGTAGGGTCACGAGATGCAAAAATCGAGACAGCCCTTTCAAACCCTGTGGAGGCTGTCAGGGAACCCAAACCATGACTCTCCCTGACAGCTGTTTGCACAAAGCAAGTTGGAGTCTCAGGAGAGGCCCACGTCCCCTGACTTCATTCTTGCAGCTTCAGCTTGCATTGCTGGTGGTACTGGCAGAAAAGGCAAAGGAAGCAAAGGCCAGCAAGACCTGTGCTTCCAGGGCAGGTCCTTTACAAGCCTCATCAGCAGGGAGCACTGCTGGAAGCTGGCACTCACGGGCTGTAGCATTGGCGGCTTTGCCTGCTGGTTCCAGGCTGCTTTGTCTACAGGTGAACCCGGTCTGTGAGCACAATGTTGCTGCTCATAGCCATTGGAAAGAGGGATTGGTGTGTTTCCAGCCCAGGATGGGTCCTGGACTAACTGACCTTGGGCTTAACCATTGCTAGGACTGAGGACCCAGATAGCTGATTTTTGGTCTTTGGCCCGTGCAGCAGGACACCTGTTCTCCTTGCAATCATCTTTCTATTGTCAGCAGTAAGACACTGAGGTTTGTTGGAAGAGCAGTTCTCTAAAAAGCAGAATAGACCCATTGGTGCCACCAGCAGAGCTGTATTGGGAATTGAATGATGCCCAGCTTTGTGTTGTGCTGTGGTAGTTATTCCCTACAGACATCAGCACTGAGCTGGAAGATGGGCCTGGCTTTCCCTTCACCGATCCCCAAATGGTTATTTTTGGAATTTCCACCCCAAGGGAAGTTCCAAGTTTTTTCTTCTCGTGGTGGGGGAAAAATGGCATTTACCCCAGCCTTGGAAACTCTTGAGGTCTAGACAGCTCTGTCTGCCTGGGACATGGGACAGCATCCTCGTTCATCAGTAGTACTGAACGTGAGCCAAAGGCACTGAACATCTGCAAACACTAGTTTTATTCCAGACAGTAGCTGTGTTAAAAACAAACCCCTTCTTTCTCAAAAGATCAGACTTCGAGCTCATGTGCATCATGGTTAATCGGGAAGGACTCCAGCAAAGGTCAGTGTAGTTACCCCAAGATACAAGTGAGATCAGATTCAGGGCTCACTCCCTGTATCTCCCAGGCTGCTGGTTCTCTGTAGGGTCGGGGGTATTTCATTTAAGCCCTTGTGAGACTGGCAGGACTGACATGGCTGTGGGGGAAGTGAGCTGCTTGCTCTTTAGACTCGCACCATCTCAGTAGAGTGCTCGAGCAAGTTCTGTTTCCTGGGAAATTTGCAGTTTCTTCCATCGGGTTTTAAGCGTGTTTTGGAGAGCAAGCCCCACGTGCAAGGAGCTGAGTGGGTACTGACAGTGTGTGACAGTCCGTCCTGCTCAGAGAGCACAAGCGCTGGCCTGTGTATCGGTAAATCACACTTACGGTCTCAAAATAGCGCCTGAGTGGGAGTCTGGTGATGCACAGGCCTTGGAGTGGGCAACGTGAATGAGATAAGTCGCCTGGCTTGGAAAACATCCAGCGTGTCTCCCAGAAGTGACACTCCTTTCCTAACAGAAACATGACTCGGAGTAGGACCAAAGTGAGTGAAGAGGCAGAAATTGAGCCAACTTCTGCAAACTATCATTAGTTTTGTGAAATCTCAAGTAGCCGGGCCAGGTTTAGCCAGCCCGGCTGGTCACGCACACTCCCGGCTCGAAGGGGCTGACCGGGCTGCTTCTGGAACAGGTGCCGATAGCTCTCGGTGCTCTTTCCCCCTCAGTTCGCAGCCCTGTCCGGACCCCGGCTGCCGGAGCTGCCTTTCACCGCTCCACCGAAGATCTCCGCATGAGGCAGAGCGCAAGTTACGGACGTTTACGTAAGTCCAACAGTGGCCTCGCGAGGCTGTGGAGGTCTGGAGGAGAGACACTGGGCTGAGGTCCATACTCCGGGGTTTGGGTTTTGCTGCTGACTTGCATATGGCAAATTGCAGCACTTCCCTGGGCCTCGCCTGTCTCCTAGAAGTGTTTACTGGGCTAAAGCCTATAAAGGAAAAGATTCTCACCCCCTCCTTGCCCAGTAGAAAATGCCCTGCTTAATGGTGTTTTAAGTCCAGCCTTAGATTCCTAGCATGGAAAAAGATGAGCTGGAGGTGGGTTATACTTCATAAAGCATCAGTCCATTAGGCTGCACTGTTCAATAACTAATAGCAAGTATTTCATATAATCAGAAGGTGAAGCATCTCACAGGAGCTCTTTCTGTAACACCTTCCCCAGTAATCTTATGGCACGTATTTTTAAAGGCTGAGTAGGTATAACGGGGGTGTTGGTTGTAACTGTGTGGATCTAAGGACATCAGTAGACAAGGTTCTTTGGGTAAATGTGGTATCTTTTATTAGACCAACTAAATAGTTGGAAAAACTGTTCTTTGCAAGCTTTGGGGTCCACACTGGCATTTTCAGAGACCTGCATTTTTGCATACTGGCATCTGTCCCATCCAGGAGAGCACAAAACAACTGTAGACTCTCCCTATGCCTTAAGAAGGGTGTTTATACCCAACAGCTTGCACAGAACAATTTTTCCAACTATTTAGTTGGTCTAATAAAGGGTTTTGTCTCTGCTGCAGTTATCCTCAGTTTTATAGTTCACCTTTCCCTTGACCGAGTTAGGGGTAAGGTAGAGAGCAAAGCTAGCTACAGTGAACTGCCTGTGTAATAATGTTCACTGTACTGCCACAGATGACTTAATAACGAATAACTAAAATGTCACAGTATAGTAAATCAAAAGCATTGCAGAGAAGCCCTGAACATATAGCAGGGTGTCATTGCCCTGCTGCAGGAAAAGATCCGGCATCACATTGTGACTCAGGGTGTCTGTACTTCAGGCCAAGATGTAGCTACACCTTCGGCAGAGACAACCCAAGGCACTTTAAACCAACCAGGTGAAGTGCATCGCTGTGCCAGGCAGCACCCAAATGCAGACACAGTTACGTTGACTGCAATGTCCTTTCAGCAGCATAGCTTCTTCTGACTGCAGTACTGGTTTAAATTCCCCCTAGGCAAAGCTACATCGGCACTTTGGGGGGTTTGCCAGCATAGCTCGAAAAGTCTTGAAGGTCAGCTTGGTGCCTGAATGAGATCTCAGTGACCCTGGTGTAAATATGGTCGTCCCTGCAGTTATACCACTTCGCATACAGAACCTGCCCATTTTAGTCACACCAGATTTATGCCCTCATAAACTGGACTTGAATGCAGGCTCCTATAGAAATGAGCAACTGTGGGGCCCCATTCCCCATTTCACCAGCTTCTCAACCACAGAGATGAAGGGCATAAAAGTCACAGACCCATGTATCTGTGTATAGCAGCCTATATAGTAGCCTCTAGGGTTTCTCATGTCTTTCTTCCTTTTTTTGCTTCCCTAGGCCATGCCCAGAGCCGAAGCATGAATGACATTACAGAGGCGCCAAGCACAGATCAGGTAGTAAGTTCTGAACGCCTTTCTTGGACCCAGGTTTTCTACAGCAAAATGAGAGATGGTCTCCCATTATGAGAAAAAAATGTGTTTTTCATTCTCCTCCTTTTAGCAGGAGCATTTAAAAGTAACCCGCAGCCCTCCCCAGTGCTGTAGTCCTAGTCACCCAGATCCAAGTTATTTCAGGCCGAGAGAACAGCTCCATTGGAACATAACACTAATGAAAGGGGATTGCGTCCTGGAGTCTTTTCCCTGCTAGGACGTACCTGAGGCCTCAGAGAAAGCTGCAAAAATCCTTTGAGTAGGCAGTTGTGAAATAGCCTGTAGAAGGAAATCTTTCACATCCCTTCTCATCTATGCACCCTGTAGATTGAACAAATATGTCCCCTAGGTATTTTCACTCCTACCTTTTCAGATGATCTCATGGATGCTGAATGCCTTTATGACTCTACCAAGCTCCTTGTCTTGGTGAACAGGCCAACGTGCGGTGAAACAGTGGGGTGATACATTAAAAAGTAACAAAAAGGAAATGCCTTGGTACACACAATACAATGACCCTGTGTAATGCGTTGCCACGTGACGTGATGGAAGCCAACCACATGGTAGCCTGCCAAGGACTAGAGGATGCTTTTGTGGATAACGAGTGTATTCTGCAGGTAGATCAGATAGGATGAAAACAATTGAATGGTCTGGGCAGCAATGTTTCTAGGTATATGCCAAGAACTAGTGGCCTCAGGTGAAGAAGAGACTTCTCCTATAGATGTATTGTCTGCTATGGGGGTCTTGACATCCTCTTTGGAGTCGTGTCAGTTTGTTGGTGCCCGCTGGACACAGGAAATGAGACAGGATGCACAACTGGCTTGTACCAGGCTGAAAACTGCACTGTTCCTAAGTGCCTGGTTTTCACAATCCAACAAAGGATGGTTTCCCAGAGGTATCCCTCAACAGCATGTTCTATTAGGTCACTTGGACACTGAAAATGCACTTCTCCGTAGTCACATTTGTTTCATGGAAGATGCACGTGGGCAGGTGACTACTTGACCTTCCAAATTTTCATGCGGTTTCCTGTGGAATAAGTCATTGTCATTTATGTTGATAATTTATATGGATAGCCTCTTTTGGCTGTGACCATTGTGTGAAGCAGAACCAAACAAGATTGTCACTTTTGGAAAAAGTTGATTATTTAAGTCGAAAATGAGAAGCAGTGAGTGGGCATTATAGATGGCTACCCTGCTAAGCAGTATTCTCAGTGCACCAGCAGCCCAACCTTTTTAAAAAGTGTGCAGAGTCCTTTAAAAAACCCTCCAAAACACCAGGATGCTAGGGTTGATGATAATGACTCACAAAATTGCCAGGCTGTTCTTTACAAAATTCCTTAGTGGCCATGTTGTAAGTGCTGCTGCTAGGCAGGTATTTTTTATACTCACCGGTGATGTTTTTGTGCAGTCAGACTCCATGAAAAGTCAAGGAGGTATCAGCATTATAATTGTTTTTAAGAGCTGTCTGTATCCATATGGTGAGGAGGTGGATATACGTCCATCATGGTTTTATCTCCACACTTGAGTAGGATGCCTACCTCTGGGTCATAAACATCAACTCAGCAATTTAATTGGTAGCCAGGCTTCATAGCAAGAGGCAGTAATTTTCTCCACAGTTTTGTTGAGGAAGTTCTGGGTAACAAGGCATATGGGAAGAGGTAAGGGTGAGAAGTGAAGTTGGGGAGGATGGTTATTCATATAGTCATAGCACGTGGGTCTCAACAGTATAGCAGCACCTCATTTATTCTCCAGTGAGAACTATGTCTGGCTCTAAAGGTGAAGTTAAGGAGTTTGCTAGTTATCACAACTATTTATCATATCATGCAATGGAGCAACAAGGGTCACTTCATTTCCATTAACAGTATGGCGAAGTGCCTCGCTGTTAATGGAGATTATTTGTGTTTTCCCTCCCTGGTTGTTTCTGAGAGGTCAAACCCTGCAATATTCAGTTGGCCAAAACTCCCATCATCGGAGTGGCTAGGGCTGTAGTGAAACCTCTGCTTGTGTGTGTGGGTGGGTACACATGCACTTTAGAGCCAATACAGTAATTGTCAGCAGCAGGAAGCTCCTGACTTGTTCCACAGCAGTAAATAGCTGTTCTGGACACAGGTCATGGTTCATCCAACAAGGGGAATAGGCAATGCACAACATGTGCATGTGACCATACCTCCTTCTTGTTCCTGGACCCATGTAAAAGATAAGGGCCTACTTCTGCTACTGACTCAGGGTCTGAGCAGGGGTAGGACTCTGCAGGATTTGAATTGCAAGGTGCATAATAAGTATACCGTCATATACCTATACTGCCACTGTAAAGCCTGGGCATTTGATAGGAAACATGGGGAAGAACCTGTGTTTATTGTTGAGACGCACACTTTTGTTGTCAGTAAAGACAATGGAGAAAGAGTGTCCGGGCAAGGCTCCTGGTGTTGGCTGTATTTTAAGTCCATTTTAGGTGTGTTTGCATGCTTTGCTTCCAACATAGGCTAGGCTTGTCTTAGCAAGAGTTTTGACTGAATGAGGCTTCCAGGCTGTACCCAGGATACTGCCCTAAAAGCAGGAGGTCTGAATCTCTTTGCCATCCTGCCAGTTATAAACCTTGCTGTCCTCCCTGGAAGCTTCACAAAACATCCCTGTACAGGTGCTCCTGCCGACTCTTAGCCTGTATGTGCTAAAACAAGGCCCGGTACAATTCTGGAAATATGCAGAGCTCCAGACAGCCAAGTGCAGTTGGTTCAGTTGCTAGCCAGAGGCTAAGACGGTGTGGAAGTGAAGAAGACATCATCCCCTCCTTGGAGAATCATGTTTCCTCCCCTCAGAGACCTGGTCCCAAATGCAGACTCCAAGATACCCTTCTCCCACTGCATTTTAACAGGAACATGAGTAGGGCTTTTGAGGCCTTTGTGGAATGGGTGGGACAGGGTGTGACCAGCCTCTTGTCTTTATGTTAATCAGAACGTGCCATGCTGGGGAAACAAATGGTTTGATGGAAGCCAAAGGTGCCCAGATACACAGTTCCTCTGCTTTGCCCATCCAAAGTATGAGGGTGTTGCAGGAACAAATGGCAAAATGTCTGCTCACGCTGCATGTCCCTGACAAACTGGGAAGTGACACAGCAATGGGGAATGCTGATGGGGCCCTGTTGAAGGCGCTCGTCCTTTTACAACTAGGCAGAGAAGTTAATGCAAAATGGTTCGAAATTGCCAGCACCTCCCGAAACCCCTTTGCACACTGCAGCTAAGCTTAGCATAACCAGAATGGCCTGTGAGTGCAAGGCTGAGGGAGTCCCTAACAACTGTAACCACGTGCATAGACTGATTTATAAGTGCTTCATTTAAAGCTGATGGCTGATGTGAAAAAAATATCACTATGTACGGTAACGAGCCGCCACTCTGGCTGGCATAAAGAAAGGTGCCACCAGCAGCGCATGGGTCAGAGGAAGTTTGTTCATGGAGAAACCAGCAAAGGATGGAAGCAGGAAAGACAGGGAAAGGAACACGGGTCCTTTCCCACCTCATTGTTGCCTAGGACGGTGAATGTTGGGAGGTGCCTGCCTCAGGCACCAAAGGGCAAGGGCGCACCCCGGCCTCGCGTGACATGCACTCTAGTGAAAAGCTGTGCGCTTTTCTAGCAACCAAACAAGAGATCGCGGCACTTCTGACTGTCACGCAGTCCATGCATCAGGGAGCTGCCTCTGCCATAGCTCCTAACATGGGGACTGGATAAAGGGCAGCCGTCCCATCCAACCCATCTGCCTCCTCCATCTCTGAGCCCTGAATCCTGACTTTCCTGGCAAAAGTCAGCTTGTGTAGAGAAGCATTAGTGTCGTGTGAGTGGGAGGTGGATCCTGCGTCTGGCCTGCTCCACTGAACTCCATCTGCCACGGTCCAACGGGCAGCATCGCAGTTACATTTCCACAGGCGAAGGCAGACGGCCTTTGTGGGTCCCAGGAAGCATGAGGGAGGTGAAACAGGTCACCTTTTGATTCCCGCCCTGATGCGCTACAAACTGCTGATGCCCAGTAGGAAATCCCATCATGTTCGCCATAGGGACCAGTCTTGCCTCAGTTGCCAGCCGGAGGATGCCTCTGGGTGCTTTTGCCGAATCTCTGCTCACTCCTTTCCAAACCTTGTGACCCAAACGGCCTTTAGAGCTGCCTTTTGCTGTGAAATGGGAAGCACAGAGTGACTGTCACAAGCAGGAGGGGAGAGTAGCACCTGCTTGGTTGCTCAGGCGAAGGGGCCCCAGGAAAGCAGCCTGCTGGATGGGCTTCAACTCTGCTAGCAACCAGGACGGAGGGACTGGTTGGCATTTGGAGCAAGTTGCAGCAGCTGAGCACATGGCATCTGCCTCTGCAATATCGCCTCTAGCCACGGTGCACAGAGAGTTAACACTAAGATATGCAAAGCATTTAGTTCCTAAGAATGCCGGGTTTTAATCAGCCTCTTAGACCCACTACAAAGGGACTTTTTAAGTTTTAAGTGAAGCTTAGTCGGCGCTCTCAGTTATGCCGAGCTGCCTTGGAGGAGTTGTGTTATGACGATGATTTTTTTCCATTTGGATTTAAAAGCTTAGAAGAAGAGGGTGAGCCTGCTGCTTGGCTCACATGCCTCTCCTCATGCTGGCAATATAGATTATAATAACACCCTGCCTGGCTTTGTATTGCACCCTTTCAGATGAAGAATAATGAAAGGGCTGCAGGGGACAGGAGACCCAGGGAGGAATTGATACAATGAGGCCTCCTGGAACCGTGAATTGTCTTCCGCCCTAAGGGAGCTTTTCTGAGGTGGCGGGGGCAGGAAAGAGCTGCAAAGCAGAAGCTCAAGACAGGAACTACAGGGCCCTGAGGTCTTCTTCCATTTTTTGTGAAGGGAGCCAATGGGGCCCATGGGCTTGGAAGAAGAGGTAAAGGAAACTTGCAGTCAGAGCAGAGCATAAGCACGTTGGCTCTCGTTTTGCTAGCACTGTGCAGGTGGCACACCATATATCAGTACTGATTCATGAAGGTCTCTGTCTGCAAAGTCTCCCTCTTCACAACCACCCAGACACACATGCCCACCTGGCCTGGCTTGCACAAAAGTCGGGTTTGAAGTGTGTGGGACGCGAGCACATGCACAGGTGTGGTTTTGAGTCCGGGCGAGTCCCAGCTCTGCTATCGCTCTCGGTGTTATCCTGAGTCGCACCTTCATGGCATTTCCTGACTTGTGAGCTCCCAGAGTCATAGGAGCATGGGAGAGAGTCGGGCTTCAGCGACGGTCAGCCCTGCGGTCCTGGCAGTGTGTGGGAGGTGCCCATCACCAGTCAGTAGGTCTTATGAACAGAGCGTAGCCACGTAGGTAGGGGCAAGGAGCTGCGCCCACTCCTTGACAGAGCTCAGCTGGGACTAGTGAGTATCCACCAGAAACAGATCCTCAAAATGAGAATGACAGATGATTGGAGTGGTTACAAATGCCCCTTGTCCCTTGAACAGCTGAAAAACAAGTTCATGAAGAAGATCCCCAAAGATGCGGAGGCCTCCAACGTGCTGGTGGGAGAAGTGGATTTCCTCGACAAGCCCTTCGTGGCCTTCGTGCGGCTTATACAGGCGACGATGCTGGGTGGAGTGACGGAGGTGCCTGTCCCCACCAGGTAGGCTGCTGGTCAGTTAAACCCAGCGGGCTTGTGCCGGGACCCAGGAAAGGTCTCAGGGTCAGCACCAAGGCACCGGGGAAGCATGCATTGCCCTCAGAAACAGGTGGGAATGCACTTTCTTTCCAGGTCTCTGGGCTCCTGAGGGGTCCAAGTCATGTCTCATGTGGCTCACAGAAGTGGCCCACGGTAATAGAGCAACACAGATCCCCCAGAGCTGAAGGGATAATGGACCCTTTTTTAACCCGCAGTATTCGGGGAATCAGGACTACTGGGTTCATTCTCTGGCTCCACCACTGATCTGGTCTGTAATGGTGGGGAACTCCCTTCCCTGTATCTGCCTCAGCTTCTCCATCTGTAAATAGGGCTGAATGCAGCTCTACCAGCCCCTACTCTTCGGGGAAAGAAGCGCTTCCTCTTGGTCAGGGCCACTAGCAGAATCGTTCACCTCCCCGTTTATCCCAGGCACTGGCGGGTCAGGGAGCCCTGATGTTTTATCACATATTGCCATAGGCATAAAAGGTCCAGTCCAGCTCTCACTGACCTCAGTGGGCCATGCCCCATTGGACAGCAGTGGGATTTGGATCGGGTCCTTTACCGAGATAACCAAGCAGTGAAACTCCCAAGGCCTGTTCCCGCATTTTGCAAACCCCTACAGTCAGTACTGAAACGGCCTTCTCCCCCAGGTGCCCCAGGCCAAGATCCTGTGCGCTGGGCACTGCTGTGAATTAACCTGGCACTGATTGCCAGGCCAGCCATGGACTCACAAGCGCTGTCTTTTTGCATCAGGTTCCTTTTTATTCTCCTGGGCCCTTCCGGAAAAGCAAAATCCTACAATGAGATTGGCAGAGCCATCGCGACCCTCATGGTGGATGACGTAAGTACCCAAGGCATGACCAACGCCTGCTCAGGAAACATCCCCTTCACGTGCACCCCATCCAGGCATCCATTCCATACGTACCTTCCCCAGCTTGGAGTGACACGCTCCCCCAGAGCCGGGATTAAAGCCAGGCGGCCAAACTGACAGCTGAAAATCTATGCGGTTCCACTGTAGTCCAGTTGCCAAGAGCTGAGCAGCTGGTGTGCACAAGAATTCACTTTAAATTACTAAAATAAAGCAGCTGTATGTGTGGGTGTGTGTGTAGAAAGTGCAAGTGTAGGGGTGTATCTGTCCAGCAAAGTGCACACGGGAGTTTAGCACAGCCTGGCACGACATTCTTTCATCTTGCTAGCACGGGTGGTAATAGCTGTCAAGACACAGCAACTGCAGCTGAGCCGGATCAAGCTAAGAAGCAGTTTCATCCTTGTGCCGTCACACCTTTGTTCTGCCCACACGTGTGCCGCTATGGGTGTGCTCCTGCCATGACCCACCTCTGGATCACATCTCAGTGTGTGTTAGAGGCTTCTTTGTGCTCTGCTCATCCTTTTGCGGCTTATCTGATGGGGGACTGTGGTTTTGGAGCAGAAGGATAAGTTCTGTCCCGGCTGCATTGTGGCATTCCAGATGTCCGCAGCCTGCACTGTGGTAACAGCCAGGAGGGCCTACATTGTCTAAGTAGCATTCACTGGCACCATTTTCACACCAGCAAGGAGTGAGTCAACCTCTGCAGTGATCTAAAGTGTGAGCTAGGCACAGGGGGTAGCTGAAACTGGGGTCTTCTGAGCGAAAAGTTTGTTGTCTCTATTGATTTCCAGCTCTTCAGTGACGTTGCCTACAAAGCCAGGGACCGAGAAGACCTGATCGCTGGGATTGATGAATTTCTGGATGAAGTTATTGTCCTGCCACCTGGCGAGTGGGATCCCAACATCCGAATAGAGCCCCCCAAGAAACTGCCATCTGCTGACAAGAGGTACGGGGCTGCTAGTGACAAGCCAGAAATCAGGCAGTCAGGAGACGCAGGGTGTATCGCCTGCTGGGCTTCCAGCCTGGCGTGTGACTTTGGGAAGTCACGTCCACACATCCGTGTGGAAACAGAGAGTAGTGACACTGACCTTCCTCGTCAAGTGCTATGAAGTGGGTGCTTTAAAAAGCTAAGAGTTGCTATGAGCAGCATAGCAAGCTTGACTTTGCAGCAAGTTAGAGTAGTGAATTAGGACTAAGTCTAGTGACAGGTCCTGGTGTTACACAGAGGCCAACGAGCATAAGCAGCTCAGCAATGTGAGCGGATGCATTTCACAATACCCGGAGCTAAACTGTATTTGCAGAAACAAACCCCCATTTGAAATGGATGAACCGTGGTGCTTTAGTTGTGGAACTTTACTAGCTTGTCCCTGACTAGCCTAGCAGGTTATTCCTTTTGATAGGAAAGCCAGCTCGATCCTTGTCGAAACTGTCCCTATAATATTGTTCGATGTGCCATTCTAGATTGACCCAAGTGCCATCTCCTTGGTGTAGCCTAGATGGCAGCATTTCATGCAGGAGCTAATCCCAAGAAATGTACTTTCCAGACAGCCAGGAAGCAAAGCCCAGGGCTATAAGGGACTCGCTGGGAATTAGTCAACTATAAATGGCTTATCACTAGGAACTGATGCATCACCCAAATCCAACTTATGCAGAGGAATATACAGGTGTCCACAACAGTTTGTTTGAAGCACTTTCCCAAGGCCAGGAATTTCTGGGCAACTTATGCGATGGAGGCTGAATCACCAGCAGGGGATGGGGAAATGTGTGAAACCTTGAAAAGTTTTGGCAGGATGGGGCAAGTCCTGGCCAGTTCTGGCTGTGAGGAGTTCAGGTGGGACCTAAGCTAAGGACCTAACTCACATAAAAAAGAGTCCGTGGCTCCATTCGGAGTGGTCTCTGGAAATCAGAAGGGTTTGTTTTTTAACTAGACTTTGGAGGGCTCTCAGTTGGTCCTCTAGGTTTTGAGCCTTGGTGGGGTCTTATTTTGTTAGCCCCTACAAGCCATGGGGCTTGAGAGCTGAAATTCTCACCTGACTCCAGAGTCTGGCACTTTACACAAAAGACCGGCCTGGGCAGACGTGCAGCAAGGTCTCCAGAAAGCAGAGCCTCTTGTATGCTTTCAGGAAATCTGTGTTCTCCCTGAACGAGGCAGGGCAAATGAATGGTGTGGCTGGCGGAGCAGCCGGAGGCAGCGGCGGTGGAGGGGGTGGCAGTGGCAGTGACGATGGAGAGATGCCAGCTGCACACGAAGTCGGGGAGGAACTTCTCTGGACGGGCAGGTAGGTAGTACCTCGGCTGCTTAAATGCTTTGCAGGGCCTCAGCACCCCAGGGGCCCACCAGAGCTCTGTGCACTGGGAACACTGGTTTGATCACCTTTGCACTGAGGTGGGCTGATCAAGGGATGCAACATTTAGGATCAAAGCTAAAACAAGTCTAACCATTGGCATGTGCACCAATTTGCTAGGTTTTGTACTAAGTATAAAAAACCACAGCAAACCAGGCAGAAAATAGTCAAGAGATACTGTGTCATTAGTCCTGTGAGCATTATGGTGTCTCTCTTTCTCAGAGTGCTAAAATAAAATCTAGCCTTCCTGGGCAGCCTGGCCGTGCCTCCAGCCCTTCACGACCAGTTGTTTCCCCACCTGAGTTAATATGAGCACACCTGAGGAAAGGTTTTTAGCCAGAGCTAAACAAAAATTCTCGGGGCTGTGAAAGAAAAGATTGGCATTGCCAGGAATGGCTAGCAGACAGAAAGCTTTGCAGAGGAAAGGGTATTTTGAACAGTGGAACGTCGGGACCAGTAAAAAGGATGGAGGGGGGTTAATGCTTGTGGAGGGGAGATAGATTAGCAGACGATGATGATCTGGGAAGTCACTCAACTCTCTCAGTGCTGCCCGAATAAAAATACTGCTGCCATTGGTTTTAAAGTAGACGTGGAGCAGAAATCCAAGAGCAGTTGTGAGGGGAGGGCCACAGAGGAGTCTTGGCCACTGAACGCACTCCCTGACACACACCAGTGCCACAGAGGTCTCACGTGTTTGCTTGTCCTTCCTTGTGGGTTGCGTGGAGCTGCTGTTGGGCACCTACAAGTGAGCTCCTTGGGCTGGGGGCTCACAGCATGGCTGCAAGGCAGATCTTTCCACCTCCTTCTCCCAGGTTTTGTGGGGGCCTGTACTTGGATATCAAGAGGAAGCTGCCCTGGTTCCTGAGTGATTTCTATGAAGGCTTCCACATCCAGTCGATCTCTGCCATCCTCTTCATCTACCTGGGCTGCATCACCAATGCCATCACCTTCGGGGGGTTGCTTGGTGATGCGACGGACAACTACCAGGTAAAGTGCAAGCTGAGAAGTGCTCCAGCCACATGGAGGAGGAGGGGAGTTGGTAGAGATGGGCTCAAGCCAGAAGCTGTACTGGAGTTTGGTTTGGTGTAAAACCTGTGCATCAGCTGCCCTGGGCTGTGAGACACCCAGCAGGGCAGATTTCACTGCCCACATGCCCTGTCCCCAGTGCCAGTGCCTGACCAGTCTGTGTGCTGGCTGTGGCAGGCCAGTAGCAGGTGCTCCTGTGCTGAGCCACCTACCTCACTGTGCCAGACCACCTACCAAACTCTGAGTGCCTCCCTGGGGCACCTCACATCTGGCTGGCCCCCTTCCTGGAGCACACCTGCAAGCCTGGGGCCACTGTTGCCACCACCCAGGGGTTCTGGTCTGTCTTCATCCCTGTGCCCCCTGGGATACACGGGCCTTGTAGACCTTGAGAGTGCTTCACCTGCTGTGAGAACGCGGGGTGCTTCCCTTAGCCTGAGGCACAAAAAGTAGCCTCCCTTGGTCATCCAAGCCAAGGGAATAAAAAAAGGCATGCCCAAACCACCTCCCAATGAGTCTACCATGCTTGATACAGTGGAGACCTTTATTGGTTACAGACAGTAGGCTTGGGAAAGGGTACAGGTTAGAGAAATATCGAAGAATAACCTTAGAACAAACAGTGTGGCTAGGTAGCCTTTAAACATGTATCTTCTTGACAGCAAGCTATATTTTTAGATAAGGTTTAGGTAAGTTACTCACAAGTATCATCCAGAGGCTGCTTGAGCTTTCCTCTGGAGGCAAGCACTTCATGGTGTGTCAGTGAGTTTCCAGAGAGCGATCCCCATCTCTCTGCCTGGGCAGTTGCTCACATGTTCCCCAAAATGGCCCTTCCTACTCATCTGGAGCCCAGCAGAACCCCAGAGGCTGTGAGCTTATTCCATGCTTTCCAGAATGGCTCTCCTCTCTCCAGGAAGAAGGGGCTCTTAAATAAACTTTTCTGACCACACCTTCCAAGTCCAATCAGGGCAGGTGTTGTTTAAGGCTAACCAACCAATTTAAAAAGCATCACGGGTCAACTCAGAGATTGAAATCTCTTGAGCCACTACCCCTCTGCCATGAGGTTAGGGATAAAACAAAAGAGACTAGGTTCACTTCCCCCGTACCGGCTTGAGGTGACATAGTAGCCGTAACCTGAGGCAACCAGATTGACAAGCAGGTGAGGAGACAATGGGAAGGAAAAACCTTATAGCAGAGTCTGGGACGGCCGCGGCTGGTGAACTCAGACTGGTGGGACAGTGGAGCATCCCACAGGGGTTGGGGGATGGTCACAGCCTCCCCGCTACTGGCCGAAGTGCCTGGCTGGCTGCAAACCCCAACCCCCCACTCCTGGCTGGCTGCAAACCCTGCCTCCCTGCTCCCGTGGGAAGCTCCACCACCCCACCAGTCTGAGTTCACCAGCCGCACCTGGTCCGGGAAGAGACCAAGATGGCATTTTGCTACACTGGCTACATGCCTGCCCAGATGCCCTTAAAAAGGTCCTTCCTACTCCTTCTCTGTGAACTGCCCCTGCTCAGCCAAGGGCAGATCCTAACCCTTGATGGAAAGACACATTCCCTCCAAATCTGAGCCCTAGAAGTATCCCAGCATCTCCCCCCGCAGCCCAAACTAGTGCCCTAATTGCCTTTCAGCATGTGCCTATACACAACAGAGTCCTTGAAAGGCCTGTAAGACACCCAGGCCTTAATTCACCTCTTCCCCATGCAACCCCAACCCATTGGCGTCTGTCTGGAGGAGACAAGGTGGAGGGAAGGGATTAGTGATCTGTACCACAGGGAGGGAGGACAGGTGAGAGAGCTGGCACCCATCGCTGCGCCCTGTTCTCAGCACTCCTGCAGTCTGGCCACCACCCATGGTCCCTTGTGTGAGGGGGCAGCCCAGCGCACCCGTCTCTCATCCCTACATTGAGACCTTGGGCCCTCTCCTTCTCCAGGGTGTCATGGAGAGCTTCCTCGGCACGGCAATGGCGGGCTCGGTGTTCTGTTTCTTTGCCGGGCAGCCACTCATCATCCTGAGCAGCACAGGACCCATTCTCATATTTGAGAAGCTCCTCTTCGACTTCAGCAAGTAGGTGAAGGGATGGTCCCAGCCTCCCAGCCCAGCCTGCATCCAAGCCCAGGGGAGTGGAGGGAGCCCCAACCCTGAAAGCCTAAAAATCCTTGTGCATCTGAGCCTGATGGGCTCTGGGTCTGGGTTGTTGCCCTAGACAGAGAGGCTAAAAAACCTGTTCTCCATCACAGTGGGTCTATGAGCATGGGAGCATGGGGAAGTGAGGGCTTTAGGAAAACCATTAACTGGACAGTTGTGAGGGCTCTTCCTCCGTTCCCGTATGGTGACACCTTTCCCTGGGCCTCGGTCTCCTGGCGCTGAGGGAACGGGCCAACCCTGTTGTTGTGTGATGCTCTTTGGGTGTGCCCCGTTAGAGGCAACAGCATCGACTACATGGAGTTTCGCCTGTGGATCGGCCTCCACTCTGCCCTGCAGTGCCTTATTCTGGTGGCCACCGATGCCAGCTTCATTATAAAGTACATCACACGCTTCACTGAGGAGGGCTTCTCCACCCTCATCAGCTTCATCTTCATCTACGACGCCATCAAGAAGATGATTGGAGCCTTCAACTATTACCCCATCAATTCAGACTTCAGGCCGGACTACGTCACCATGTACAAGTGCGAGTGCATCGCTCCTGACCAAGGTGAGCACGAGTCTTATTATTCCCTGCTGAGCGTTGCGTGAGGACACGGTCTGAGCTTTGCCCGCACTGGGGTCTGGCTGAGGTCTGGAGGAGTTTTGAGAGGCCTCCTGACTGATCTGTGCCGACTGGGATGCGGATGCGTGGGCATCTGATTCTGGGCTGTGAGCTTCCACTGGGGGATTACGGCAGTAGCATGAGATGTGGGCTGGGTGGCAGGAGACCTGGTGTCTACATCTGGGCTTGAAGGGCTCACCTCCCTCGGTTTCCTCCTCTGTGAAATGGAGGCAAAGATACCAGCAGCCTGGATCAAACCCAAATCTCCTGCTGTTGTGGGCTAGGTGTTATCTCAGCCAAAGGACATTCTCCCATGAGAGAGGGATCGCAATAATATGGCCCATGCGTCTCTGGGCTCAGGACCTCTAAGCATATGTCTGTACCTGTCCGCCAAGGAGGTAGCTCTCTAAGGTAGGGGTTCTTTTGAAGGCCATCTCCCCCATCATCATGTGCTCTGACCCAACCCCCCCACAAATAGCAGTGCTCCCGAAAACTACTCAGCATCTCCCAGCAAGCCAGAACATCCCTGAAAGATGAGAGCCTAGAGAAGACCTCCTCCATAGATGGTCAAGCACAGAACAACAGCTAGGAGAGATGAAAGCCATCCTCACTTAACATCCTGCAGCCAGAGCAGGATGGTTCACAAATGCATGTTCCAGGGTGAATTTGTCCTCTCCAGTTAGGTGGGATGACGTTTTTAGTGGGATGATCAGTGGCTTTCAGACACCCTTCTGAGTGATCCCTCCTCCTGACCCTTTTTCCCCCCACACCTTGGTCTCTTTTTAGACACGGGTTGGTATAGGGGTGGGGAGCTGTGTGTTGCTGTGTCTAACAGCTGCCTACAGCCTAGGCCCAGTGTCTGCCACCGCAACATGACACAAGATGTAGGCCAGGGAAAGCAAAAGGATGGTGGGTGAGACACAACCTGCATTTTTCCAGAGCCAAGATGTACTCTTCTCTGACATGGCTGTAATTCGGGCTCACTTTTAGCCCACCCCAAGCCAACCCACCAAATCGTACTGACATTTTGTCATTCCCATCCAGATTGGCTCTTGAATCACATGTCCAAATTTTCCAGAGTTCCCGTTACACTCTTTGGAACTAAGACCTTGCTGTTTGTCACATGAGTAGGAAACATTTTCCCTTGGGTGTGCTAGTGCTGTAAGGAAAAGGGAGCCCTTTGGGCGTTCTTGTTTTAAAAGAACGATGGTGGAAGGAAGAGGTGGAAACGTACTGCAACCTAACCCTCGCCCTGGAGACAGAAGTGTGGGAAACAATGTTAGTAGCCTCCATAGCCATAGTTGGCCTATATGTGATTGCACACCAGTGGCCTACACCTGACATAACATGTGGGATGTTAGATCAATGCTGTTGAGTCCTGGTGGTCAAAAATGTGTGTGTTGGGTGCATCAGGGAGGGGACAGGTGAACTGATGCTCCTTTTTAACAACTCTGCAGTTGTTTGTTGAATGTAAGGGCTTAGTCCAGCAAGGCTGTGGACACCCTGGTCTGATCAAGTGTGAAGCCTTAGCATGAGCTCACCTCTGGTTGGGAATAAACAACCAGTGCAGAGCAACGTTGGGTTAGAACAAGCAGAGGATCAGGATCGGGTTCCTTCTCCCTTGGTAGGCTCATGTCTGCAGCCCTGGACCGCCCAACAGCGAGAGCCAACAGTGATGCAGGGTGACTGGGTTTCTGACTATGTGGCATGAGGGTTCCCCCCTGGTTCCACACAGGTCACCCAGGATCCAGGAGTGGGCTGGGGGCAAGGGGAATCAGTTGTCTGATTTTTGGGGACTTTCAGAAGGAATTCTGGCCACCCTGTCATATACTCTCTGGAGCTGTGTTGTATGTGAAAGCAGGACCTGGGCCCCATAAGGGAGTGTGGTCACAAAGGGGCCATTTTTGAGCACCAGGTGGCTTTGGGATGTCTTGGAGTCCTCCGCTGTGTTTAGCCAGCATCATCTATCCCACAGAGGTGGAACAGCCACCTCCGTGATTTCTCTGCAGTTGAGTTGGAGGCCCGTCCTCTGGGGGACAGTGGGGTTAGCCTGCCTTGCTCTTACCCAGCTGGCTTCAAGCAGCTGAGCAAAGGCAAAGCACACATGGTGTCCTCGTTTGAAGCAAACCCAGTCTCCGTTCGTTCCGTATGGTAGAATTGCAATTCCAAAAGCCCTCTTATAGCTGCAACCTTCCTTGACCTGAGCTTTCACCCTGGTCGCTCTGAGCATTTCCTGAACACTGAGAGCATATGGTAATTGCCCATTGAGTGCTTAATATTTTTTCTGGTAGTGTAACAGGAATGGCTTTTGACTGTTATAACTGATTTGTACCATGTTTGTCTCTGCTGCACACATCTATTTGGCTGCTTTCAATCTCAAGTGAGTATCACTCTATAAATGGTCGACTTATTTCATGTTTGATACTCTTCCATTTTTTTAAGGTGTCCTACTCTTAGCTCTACTCCAATCTCTCCATTTGTGTGAAGCACTGATGGACCTTGTGGTCAAAAATACAGCACATGCTACAGCATACTCTATGTTGGGGCATGAGCAATTTAAAGCAGTAGAACTCGCAACTATGTCTGGTTCTGGAAAAGCTCCATTCTGCATGTGAACACCCAAAGAAGTCATAGGATCACAGAGAAGTGGGGCTGGAGGGGACCTTGAGAGGTCAACCCATCCAGCCCCCTGCCTG